CCTAATGCCCTGATTCTTAAATAAAAATTAACTATTGTGCTATGATGGTGACTCCTGCCTGTAATCCCAGCACCTGAGAGGCTAGGAAGAAAAATTGTCATGAAATTCAATGGTAACCAGGGCTATATACCTATATCTATATATCTGTATCAATTCAGTGGAGCTAATATTTATCTCATAAGATTATTGACAATAAGAGAAAATAAGTTACACTTAGTTTGGAAACATTAAGTGCTTAAATAAGTGGAAGCGTCTTAGGTTTGACTCTGAGTCCAAATGTCATGACTTAATATGTATTCATTAACTCACATTAGTTGTAAGGACCTGCCCCAGGACCAGCCCTATCAACAATCAGTCAAGGAAGGGGAGGGTTGGAGAGCCCTACCTTTTACTTCAGAGCTAATGACTCTTGAAAGATTCTGGGAGAGGCTGGATCATTGTCTTTACCTGAGTAGCCTCTGCTGAGCTCACCAGGCTCCAACAGATAGCTCCAAACTCTCTGGCACACAGATGGCCCTGGGTAATCTTGTTAGATCACAAAAGAAACAGACATGAATGTGTGAGAGAGATCTGTGGGGAAAGTGGAGGGTGTAGGGGTGACAGCAAGGTGGGAGGTGAGAATGGTCAGTTTGCAAGGTGTTCAGATGAGAAATGGTAAAAATGGTTTTAGTTATAGCATCACATGTACTTCCTCTCACAGAGAAGACACAGTAGTTTATGTTATCTGCACTTTTCCCTCTCACTTCAGAGTTACTTGTATAACTTTTACAACAGTATATTGTTATACTTGTTCTAATATATTATTAGTTATTGTGCTATTTCCTTGTGTGCCCAACTGATAATCTTTATGTTTTCATAGGGAAAACAGTACCTAGGACTCAATAATATCTTTGGTTTCCAGTTTTGGAACACAGCCTCTGCAGATAAGAGAATGATAACAGATAACATATGTTAACAATTCTAAGTGGCTGTACATAGGAATACAACCTTTCTTAGAAATCGGGCTTTTGCAGATATAATCAATTTAATTTGAGGTCATTAGGTTGTGCCCTTAATCCAGTGTCATCAGAGAAGATAGCCATGTGAAGACACAGAGACAAAGGCAAATACTAAATAAAGATGGAGGCAGAGACTGGGGTGTCTTCAAGCCAAAGGCTGCCAAGGATTGCCAACTGTCACCAGTAATGAGAACAGAGGACCCTAAAAAGAACCAACTATGCCAATGCCTTCATTTTAGACTTGTTGCTTTGATAACCTTGAGAGAATACATTTCTGAGAAGTTATCTAGTATGGTATTTTGTTATGGTAGCCCTAAGGAACTAATGCATAAGCATCTGGATGTAAATCATTTATTTTTGAAGGTAAAGTCCAGGAGCCACTGATTATAGGGTTTAGAAGTGAGACAGGAAAGAGAAGGACCCTGGTTGTGTGATTGTGAGTGGGCTGTCTTTATAGGTAGAGCTCAACCATTTTGTGAACCTTTACATGAGGAAGTGTTGTCCTATCTCCAAGGAGGACATTGGCATAAATATTAGTGTATTGTGTATTAGTAATTGGCTGCTATAACCAATTACCTCAGACTTGGTGACTTAAAGCAATAGAAATTCATTCTCTCATAGTTTCAGAGGCCAGAAGTCTGCAACTAGCGTCACTGAGGGGATATTTGGTTTCTTGTTTCTGACACCCTTGGTGGCTGCTGGAAGTTCTATCTTTTCAGTTTATTAAGGTATGTGATTTGCACAAAATGATCAATTCATCGTGGTATTTCGTAAAATGAATACAGCACACTTCAGTTTTACTCCTCTCATCTTTTCATCCCTTCCACTTGCTCCTCCCTCCCAATTCATCTTAATTCTACCTTAATGCCTTAAAAATCTAGATGCTGGCCAGGCACTACTGGCTCACACCTTTAATCCCAGCACTCTGAAGGTAGAGACAGGCAGATCTCTGTGAGTTCGAGGTTAGCCTGGTCTTCAGAGTGAGTTCCAGGACAGCCAGGGCTGTTACACAGAGAAACCCTGTCTCAAAATAAATAAATAAATAAATAAATCTAGATTCCAAATATGTGAGTAAGGTGGTATTTTTTGAGCATAACTTATTTTAATACGACGATCTCCAGATCCAACCATTTTACTGCAAATGACATAATTTCACTCCTTAAGGGAAAAAATAATTTATTTTAAAAATTTTATTTATTTATTTATTTATTTATTTATTTATTTATTTATTTATTTATTTATTTCTGAGACAGGGTTTCTCTGTGTAGCCCTGGCTGCTCTGGAACTTGCTCTGTTGACCAGCCTGGAACTCACAGAGATCCTCCTGCTTCTTCTACCTCCCCAGTGTTGGGATTAAAGACATGTGCCACCACCACCAGGCTCAGCTACAGTTTCTTTATCCATTTATTCGATGATGATTAGCTGGGCTGATTCTATAACTTGGTTATTATGAATAGTGCTGCTTCGTTGCATTGCACTATTCCTATCAATGAACATCTCCTTCATTGAAGAGGCTTGAGAGAGAAGGAATAGAAGAACCTGGGGAAGAGGCAGCTGGGAGAGGCAAGGGAGCCCTCTTATGCAGAGAAGGGAGGAGGCGGGGAGAAAGAAGACAGAAGAGAAAATAGCAGCAAAAGTAGCCAAGAGATCCAGTGAGGCTAAAGAGGAAAACACTGTGTGCACTTGGGAGAAAACCACACTGTGGAGCTTCTTGGTTACCTTCCTATGACCAGCTTCAGGGGAATGTCACAGGAGGATCAGATGCCTCCCCAAAGGACTCAAGGAATCTAGTACAGCTCCTGCAACACTGTTAATGTAGTCCATTGATCCCTATCAGCCTGTATCCAGAAAAGCTCAGAGGGAGCCAAGAGGACATCAAGTACAATCTAGGCTTAACATTGCGTTAGCTGAATGGGTGACAAGCTGGAGTGGACAGGATCAAGAAGCTGATTAGAGGCCAAGCGGTGGTGGCACACACCTTTAATCCCAGCACTCAGGAGGCAGTCTCTGAGTTTGAAGCCAGCCTGGTCCAGGATGGCCAAGGCTACATAAGAGAAACCCTGTCTGGAAAACAAACAGGCCGATTAGATTAAGTTCATCTTAGCTTACTTATATTAAGTTAGCAAGAATCATGAAAGCTTCTATTTTAAAATTTGCTTTCAAACAAAAGCTGCTTGGTTTCGAGACAGGAGAGAGTTAGCATGGCAACAAATGTTTAAAGATAACCCCAAAGATTTTACTTGATTATAAACATAAGTATAAAATGGGCAAAGAATAAGATGCAGTTCCTTAAAAAGCCACCATGAGGGGGCGGGTGCTGGAGAAATGGCCCAATGGTCTAGAGTACTTGCTGCTTTTGCATAGGGCCAGGGTTCATTCCCCACACCCCACTTGGTGGCTCACAACCATCCATAACTCCAGTTCTAAGGGATTTTTTGACACCCTCTCCTGTACCAGGTATGTGGTGTATATACATACATGCAGGCATAATGCTCATACATATAAAATAAAATATCTAAAATAAAATTTAAAAAGCTAGCCCAGAGTTGGTTATGATAATAGAGAAGAGGAAGTGGAGACACAGGATGATAATTTTCCTGGAAGGAGAAAGACAGGACAGTAATTAAAAGGAGAAAACATCATTAGGAAAAAGATAAAGAGTGAAGAGCTCTATGGGAAGAGGCTATCAGGAAAGGAAGTATTAGGGAAAGGCAGAGGGTAAGATAGTTGAGAGAAGGGTAAGAAACATGGAGTTAGTTCTGACTAGGAGTGGGGATGCCTCATCCTTGGAATAACTAGAAGGCAAAGCGAAGAAGGGGGAGCAACTTATGTTTTGGCAGGAATTCAGGCGCTTGGTAAGAACACAGGCTTATGTTTTCAATTTGTGTGATGAAGTAATCTAACAGTGAGACAGGGTGTGGAAGGAGAGCGAGAGCAAGGAGAGAGGTAGAAGGGAGGGAAAGCAGAAAGGACTAGTTTCTTCTCAGGCTCTGTAAGAAGGCCACTGTTCGTGACCTCAGTGTCCTCTAGGCCTCTTCTGGCTTATCTCACTAGCTCAGGGCTGTGAGGCCAACTGTGTCAGGGTTATGGTCCAGAACGATATGCTTTGGCCCGAGCACGGTGGCTCTACTCTGTAATCAGTACTTGGGAGACTGAGACAGGAGGTATTGAGCTGGGGATTAGTCAAATAACATCTCTCCACCCACCCCACCCACCTTAATAGCCTTAAGTTCAGCTTTATGTGTTTTTCTTTTTTTATTTAAATTGTTTTCATATTTCTTACCGACCTCAGTTCCCCCTCCCTCCTAGAGTTTTTCTTTTTTTCTTTTCTTTCTTTCTTTTTCTTTTCGTTTTTCTTTTTCGAGACAGGGTTTCTCTGTAGTTTTGGTGCCTGTCCTGGATCTCGCTCTGTAGACCAGACTGGCCTCGAACTCACAGAAATCCTCCTGTCTCTGCCTCTGCCTCCTGAGTGCTGGAATTAAAGGCATGTGCCACCACCACCCAGCCTTTTTTTTTTTTTTTTTTTTTTTTTTTTGGTTTTACGAGACAGGGTTTCTCTGTGTAGCTTTGCGCCTATCCTGGAACTCACTTTGTAGCCCAGGCTGGCCTCGAACTCACAGAAATCCGTCTGCCTCTGCCTCCAGAGTGCTGGGATTAAAGGCATGCGCCACCACCGCCCGGCGGCTTTTTCTTTTTCTTTTTTTTTTTTTTTTAATGCAGGACAGTCTGGGAGACAAGTACTTGAAAAACATTCTTGCAATGCCTGTATCTTCCAGTAAGAATTAACGATTTGGTCATAATTACTAAACAGACAACGGTATCTTTATCAAACGGTTAAGAGAATCCTAATTCTGCAAGTCTCACTAATATAGTATTTTCTCATATAATGGCTAAACCCAAAGCAAAACGATTCCACAGTGAAACTATAGACTTTTTCTTTAGACAGGTCTACACTGTGTAGGCCCCTTGAACTCATAGAGATCCGCCTGTCTCTGCCTCCAGAGTGCTAGGATTAAAGACCTGCGCCACCACCTAAACTAAGAAGGGCGGTGAGAAGTCATTCTTCATTTGGAACAAACTCCCCGCGCCTGTGGAGAGGCCAGCTTCTAATAAAGAAGCTGCTCTCCGCCCTCCAGAAGCCCGGGAAGGCGAATACCCGCAACAGAATGAGCCACGAGATGCAAGCAACTGAAAAGGCCAAGCCTTCGCCTTCCGTCTTCCCCAGGACCTCAAAGGACCCCGGGCCACCCGCTCGCCCGCGGCCACCAGCACCCCGCCTCAGCAGCGAGTCTCACCCGGGGCAGCCTGCGAGCGTCTGAGCGCAAAGCCGGAGCCGCCAGGGGGCGCGCGCGCGCGCGCCACCGCCTAAGACGGAAGTCCCGCCTCCCATTTCCGGTGGCAGAAAGGTGTGGGGCTGGAATCGGCTTCCTGTTCGAGAAAGGTTGCGCTTTGGGCACGTGTATTACTTCCTCCGGCTCCTGCGACTCCCCCTGTCCCGTTGATCTTGTCTGTGGTACTCCGTGCAGGCCTAAGGATGAAGGCAGTAAGTGCCCTCGGGACCCCGGCCCCGGTGACAGGGTTACTCGGGTTGACAGAGTCTCCGCCTCGCTTGTCTTTCCCGCAGATTTTCACTCTGGTATAGGGGGCGGTGGCCTGTGCTGGGGCTCCTGGCGGCTCTATGCACCATCTGCTTCAGCTCCTTACTGGAGTTTAGCTTCCTCGCCCGCTGTGCACGGACTCAGGGAGCAGGTGTGAGGCCAGCTATGAGCCCTGCATCCGAGGGATGTCAGGCTGAAGAGTTTTTCCAGATGGTCTCTCGAACCCTTTACTCCACATGAGAAGCAAGTCAAACTTCATTAACCTACTTTATGAGTCACTGGACCCGGAGAGGACCCGTTTCCCCTTTAAGTTTAAGGAGATGGGAAGGCTGGTGATTTTCCTAGATGGAGAGGGACATTTAGAAGTAGTTTTGGGATTTGGATTATAAAGCAGTTACCAGCAAGAGAGTTGGCATCCAAAGGGCATAATTCAGTTTTACCCTCCTTAGGTCAGGGATCTTCATCAAGTTGCGTGACTTCTGTGAACTTCACTTCTTCATCTGTTATGTGAGGATCATTTTATAGGGTATTGGAAAGTTAGAGTGTTTTGTAAACAAAACACCAAGTGAATCATTTTGCTCTGATGGTGTTACGGTACAAGTGTTTAGCTACCCTTGAATAACCATTTACTTCAAGATAAAAGAGTCATAACATTTTTCTTTTCAGATCTTACACAGTTGAGAGACTGGATTCAGATCATGGGAAAATCCAGTGATGAGTAACTGATGTTCTGGTGCCATTCTGTAGGATTAGTTACTGCCATATGTTGATTTTAGTTCTTACACAGGATCCATGGTTGTGAGACGGTTGTGAAATTGGTCTAATTTAATTTATAAGTTGTTTTCCTTAACCTGATTTAAAAGATAAATTTCTCAGTTGCCGTGTTGCTTCTGTTGTTGTTTTCTAGAGAAGAAATAAAAAGCAGGTCCCAAGCTTTCGCAAGTTGATAAAAACCAGTAAGGTGAAACTTGAAAACAAACTAAAAAATAAGCAATTTAAACAACAAAGTACTATCAAGAAGTACCGAAAGGAGCAGAGGAAACTAAGGCAAGCTGTAAAAGATGCTGTGTCTAAAAAACCCATCCCATTGGAGGACCCAAAGAGCAAACGACCAGGTAATGAGAGCATTCACTTACCCGAGTTCTCATTAGTTCTTCTGAAATAGTCTCCACAGAAGTGACTTACTTTCTAGTAACGATTCGTCCTGTGTTCAGATCTTCATAGGCCTAGGTAAGGATAGAGTTCCTTTATGCGATACCACAGTCAGTATGAGAAAACATTCCAAGGTGAGAAACATTTCACTGTGAGAAAGCTAGCTTCTGCTTTTAGTTGGTCAGACAGCGGATCTGAAAGTGTTGTACTTGGGAGACATTCAGAGTAGCTATGTAAATAGATTTTGGGCTACATGTCAGGGCCTTCACCTTCCCGTTCACTGAGAGTTAGAATGGTTGAAGTGTTACTACGCAATCTAAGCAAGGGAATAAAAGTGGAGCACACTAGTGTACAGAACAGCAAGTGGTTGAAGAAACCAAGTTCTACATATATAGTTAGTAAAACTTTGGAAATAGCCAAATGCTACTGGAAAGACAGGTGGTTGTGGTCAAAGAGTGAGCATCAAGGCTTGGGACCTTTGGAGAGGGCAGTTGAAATGAAGCAGACGTCACTGGAGATGAGAAGGTGCTGGTGCATTCAGCCATTGGTTCTCAGATGCCCCGAGACACAGTTCAGAATATAGGGAAACATTAATTCTTAGGATTCAAGAATCAGAGATACTAAGATGCTAGCCCTTTGCTGGATTATCTCCACATGGAAAAGAAGTATGACCTAGCATGTCAGTAGTGCTTTCATTGGGAGTACTGGAAGGAGGGGAGGTAAGATAGAAAAATGCAGAATTTTAATACTTCTTTTTCTTTTTTGGTGGAACAGTTAAAAGGATGGAGAGGGAAGAGGAGGAGGAAGAAGAAGCCCTTCCTTTAGATATGATGGATGAGGATGACTTACAGCTGATGAAAGATTTAGGACAAAAAGCATCTTTTCTCACAAGAGATCTTTCTTCTAGGTAATATTTTATCTAGATTATAACTGTTCACATCTGTATGTGTCACAGATGTGGTTCTGAGCATCAGACCCAGGGCCTGTGTAGTTGTTCTCTTTGCTCTTTGGCTCTTTTGTGGGGGCTGACACCCAGCTCCCAAATAATCACCCACAGAGACTTTTTCTTACTTATGAATGCAATGCCTGGCCTTAGTTTAGCTTATTTCTAGCCAGCTTTTCCTAACTTAAATTATCCTGTTTACCTTTTGCCTCTGGGCTTATATCTTTCTCTATTTCTGTATATCTTTCTTTACTTCTTACTCCATGGCTTGCTGTGTAGCTGGGTGCCTGGCCCCTGGAGTCCTCCTCTCCTTTTCTCATTCCCTGATCTTTCTCTCCCCAAATTTCTCCTCCTATTTATTCTCTTTGCCTGCCAACCCTGTCTATCCTTTCTTCTGCCCAGCTATTGGCTGTTTGCTCTTTATTAGACCAATCAGTTGTTTTAGACAGGCAAAATAACACAGCTTCACAGAGTTAAACAAATGGAACATAAAAGAATGCAACACATCTTTGCATCATTAAACAAATATTCCACAGCATAAACATCTTAAAATAGTATTCCACAATATATCACATCTTAAAATAGTGTTCCACAATAGCCCTGTATGTACTAGACTAATGTTCTCACTATGTAGCCTAAGATGGACTATTACTGATGGTCTTCCTGCCTCAGCCTTCAGAATTCTGGGGTTATAGGCATATATTGTCTTGCCTAGTTTACAATAGATTTTCTGAATGATATGCCTTTAAGTACGTGTGCTGGTTAGGTTTTTTTTTTGTTTTGCCTGGGGGTTGGATGGGGGGTGGGTGTGGGGGGATGGTATCAGCTTGATAAGCTAGAGAAATCTGAGAAGAAGGACCTTCACTTGAGAACATGTTCCATCAGATTGACTTATAACAGTGATTCTCAACCTTTCTAATGCCAGGACTCTTCAATACAGTTCCTCATGTTGTGGTGACTGTTCCATTGGAACCTCCAGCTCCCTCCTTCTAGATCTGGAAAGCCCTGTGCCCATCTCTCCGAACCCCGCCAGTTCAGAATCTCTGAACAAGGGGCACCAAAAAGCCCAGTTCTGCATTCTCGGTGGCTGCTGCAGCTTCCTACTCTGAAGTTGCCAGCCGCCCAAGTCCCCACCTAAAGCTGTCAGCTCTTTGACCATAATTGGGCACAAACCCAGTTTGTGGCGGACATGTTATCAACCCTCGCCTACAACCTATGTAATGCCCCTCCTTTAGTTTGTGAGGGGGTGGCTTCTCCGGCCTGGATCTCTGGGACTGGAGAAGCTGCTCAGGAGTTAGTTGCTTTGCTCAAATAAACTTGTTATACTTTTTCAATTCAGCTTGATCTGGCATACTGTGTCAGCAGAGAAACATATTATTGGGGGACAGAAAACCTATTAGTGACCCTTAACCATAAAATTATTTTGGTTGCTACTTCATAACTGTAATTTTGCTACTGTTATGAATTGTAGTGTAAATATTTTTGGAGATATAGTTTTGCCAGAGAGGTCAGGACCCACAGGCTGAGAACCACTGGCTTACAGGTAAGTCTGTGGGGGGCATTTTCTTGATCTATGTTTGATGTGGAAGGGGCCAGCCCATTGTGGGCAGTGTCATTTCTTGGCATGTGATCCTGGGTGTCGTATGAAAAACTGAACAAGCTGTATTCCTCCATAGCTGTGCTTCAGTTTCTTCCTTGAGTTCCTGCCCTTCACAAGGGACTACATTTGTAAGCTGAAATAGACCTTTTTCTCCCCAGGTTGCTTTATCACAGCAATAGAGACCTGACTAGAAGAGTACCCTTTAAAACTTAAATTGAATTTTGTTCTGTAGTGAGCCAGTTCATATCAAGAAACGAAAGCATGAAAGTGTGATAGATAAATATGAAAAAATGCCAAGAACTCTGCAAACTGCACCAGAGAAGGAGTTGATTCATTTGCTTCCTATCAAGGATAAAAGTGGTATAATCCCACAGACTAGGGAGAAGCCAGGTGAGTCTAATGGCTGACTACTAGTTACACTTAGTTTGTACTACTGGAACACGTTTTTGGGATTTTTGTTTTTGTTTTCTTTCAAAGTTTAGTGTTTGACTTTTACTCATGTCTACAGAATAAGAGTAGCTGCCACTAGCACATAGCAGACTTAGTGACTGCCTTGGGGGACAGTTCTTTCGGGTGCCTGTTGCATTGAGACAGCAATTAGAGCTACAAGGTTTAGGTGATTATCTCTTTAAAGAGAGAGGGGGATGGGGCAGAGGTAGAGAAAGAAAAAGAGAGAAAATGTGTTTGTGAAATAAAACAGAGAAAAGGCAGAAATCAAAGACACCATTATGGAGATTTATAGCAAAGCTATAAATCCATCTAGGCAAAAACTAAATTCTGCCGGCTTCTCGAACTCTGCTGGTGCTCGATCACCCACTCAGGATTGCCTGTCCTGGGATCTGTGATAGCCACAGCTCTGTTGCTTTCTTCTCTGTTTTGTTTACCACTTGATGTTACCACAGCTTTAACATGTAAATCTGTCCAATAGTCACGGACATCCAGGAAGAAGAAGACGATGAAGAAGAGCTGCAAGTTGAGGAAGGTAATAAGACATGTCTTTGTAGTTGATAGACAGTTAATTGGGAAGTGGTCTTTTGTACAATGAGTGTAGTTAATTGTAGGAAGTGTACTTAGAGTGGGCATCATGGCCGGGCGGTGGTGGCGCACGCCTTTAAT